AAAAACACAGTCACATTCACACGAACACAAAGGCGATGTCTTAATGTTAAGGACATTTCGTTGTGCTTGTGTGCACATAGTCGCATGTACTTCTTTTGGTGTATGTTCGGATCGCTGTTTCATCGTGAACATCTTCCCAACGTCAATAAATGGACATGCTTTTCACATGTTTTTCATGTGATCAGCGCATGTGGGTTCACATGAACACATCCAAAAAACCCCACCATTAAGTAGCACAGGAAACCAGTAACCTATGGATCTAAATTGTGAAATATACGATTTCGATTTGGTTTGATTTTAGCCTACCTTAAATTAATTACAAGCAAACAACATATTGGAGAAAGATCCTATTCATTGGTGCGATGTTTAAAATATCAGGTATCGTTGTGCAGGTGTGACGATATGAACATAAAATGCATTAGCTGTAAGTTCATATTGCTGATTCATATGTTGGCATTATGTTTTTTGGATGTGTTCATGTGAACCCACAGGCGCTGATCACATTAAAAACGTGTGAAAGCATGTCCATTTAATGACGTTGGCAAGATGTTCACGATGAAACAGCGATCCGGACATACAGCAAAAGAAGTACATGCGACTATGTGCACACAAGCACAACGAAATGTCCTTAACATTAAGACATCGCCTTCATGTTCGTGTGAATGTGACTGTGTTTTTGGATATGCACATACATCTAATGCATTTTATGTTCATATCGTCACACATGCACAACGATACCTGATATTGAAAACATCGCACCAACAAAATGTTTGTTCACAGATTTGTTTGTTGATACTAACTGTTAATGGTATCASACCTACTTCGTAACAAAAATGTGAACAACATACGASAATTAACATTACTTTGAACTATAAWAGGAAAACCATATGTTAGACAAACTGTAATATAGCAGGCTGATACGTATGTGAAAGCAAAAAACAATCCATCAATGAACGAAAACTAACTAATGGATTTTGATGTGAAGATAATGAACATAATAAAAAATGTTTACACATCATCATGAAATTTTTTGGGAAAACAACAATTGATCATTAAATTTGATTTTCTGAAAAACTAATGTATTGTTTTTCCTATTTTTGAAATTCATTAGAGTTGTCTACCTTTTTTGAGGTTGATTAACCACTGTTGACGGTCCTTATAAAATGACACTACCAAATAGGAAACATATATGTTATGCAAATGTATGATATAAAACAGGGGGTGCGACTAATGTGAAACCAAAAACAAGTAAGAAATGTCTAAGAGGTAGACAAAATGGANTGTATGTTCGGATCGCTGTTTCATCGTGAACATCTTCCCAATGTCAATAAATGGACATGCTTTTCACATGTTTTTCATGTGATCAGCGCATGTGGGTTCACATGAACACATCCAAAAAACCCCACCATTAAGTAGCMCAGGAAACCAGTAACCTATGGATCTAAATTGTGAAATATACGATTTCAATTTGGTTTGATTTTAGCCTACCTTAAATTAATTACAAGCAAACAACATATTGGAGAAAGATCCTATTCATTGGTGCGATGTTTAAAATATCAGGTATCGTTGTGCAGGTGTGATGATATGAACATAGAATGCATTAGCTGTATGTTCATATTGCTGATTCATATGTTGGCATTATGTTTTTTGGATGTGTTCATGTGAACCCACATGCGCTGATCACATTAAAAACATGTGAAAGCATGTCCATTTATTGACGTTGGCAAGATGTTCACGATGAAACAGCTATCCGGACATACAGCAAAAGAAGTACATGCGACTATGTGCACACAAGCACAACGAAATGTCCTTAACATTAAGACATCGCCTTTGTGTTCGTGTGAATGTGACTGTGTTTTTGGATATGCACATACAGCTAATGCATTCTATGTTCATATCGTCACACATGCACAACGATACCTGATATTGAAAACATCGCACCAACAAAATGTTTGTTCACAGATTTGTTTGTTGATACTAACTGTTAATGGTATCASACCTACTTCGTAACAAAAATGTGAACAACATACGASAATTAACATTACTTTGAACTATAAWAGGAAAACCATATGTTAGACAAACTGTAATATAGCAGGCTGATACGTATGTGAAAGCAAAAAACAATCCATCAATGAACGAAAACTAACTAATGGATTTTGATGTGAAGATAATGAACATAATAAAAAATGTTTACACATCATCATGAAATTTTTTGGGAAAACAACAATTGATCATTAAATTTGATTTTCTGAAAAACTAATGTATTGTTTTTCCTATTTTTGAAATTCATTAGAGTTGTCTACCTTTTTTGAGGTTGATTAACCACTGTTGACGGTCCTTATAAAATGACACTACCAAATAGGAAACATATATGTTATGCAAATGTATGATATAAAACAGGGGGTGCGACTAATGTGAAACCAAAAACAAGTAAGAAATGTCTAAGAGGTAGACAAAATGGAMATAYTTGTGAACAGACTGATACACAAATTTAAGATGCATGTTTGATTCTCAAAGAAGTATGAACATGTCAAAAGCAAATTCGTGGAGAAATCAAGAAATGTGCATAAATGTGTGTACTGAAAAGCAAATGTCGTATCCTACATATATCCGACATTCAATAACAAGTTAAACATTGAAACAAATTAGCGTTTTATAGTTGTTTACCTTTTTGGGTTTCCTCAACTACTGTTGTCGGTTTCTTTACTTGCATGTTTCCTTGCTTGGTACCGCGTTGAGGAGCCGAGTTTGTGTTGTCTGGCTCCTCGTTGATATTAACAGTTAATGGTATCACACCTATTCTGTCACAAAAATGTGAACAACATACGAGTATTAACATGAGTTTGAACTATAATA